ACTCTACTCATTACTACTGTAACACGTTATAAAAGTTAAAGATTATAAAGAACTGTTACTGAACTTTGATAAACAAAAAAAACAAACAAATATATATATTTCATTAACCGTTCAACGAATCATGAACCATTTCAAAGTTTTTCAAATACTTTTACTACTCTGTAGTGTCCGTTTAAGAATCACTTTTGATGTAAACAACTGCATAAAAACTATATATAAATATATATAACCCGTTAATAAAATCTCGAAATTTAACGTGGAATAAATTCTTTTTTTTTCTTTCTGGACCCATGGATTTAATCAGAAGGTGTCTTAAAACGTCCTAAACCACAAGCAACTTCATAGACCCATCGATATTGATCCTACAAATAATGGAAAATAAAATATTTATGTAAACAAAACACTCAAATCTAACAATTGAGCTTGATTCAGAGTTTTTTAAATAAAACAATAGCATTAATGAAGATCTAAAAGTGACAGTGGATCAAATTTGCTATAATAATTCCTTATTATTAATGACGTAAATCAGAACACGCGCTGTAAATAGTATTGTTCATTTCGCTAACGGCTTCATCGACTGGGTTTTGTCACCTTAACGACTTTGTTGATTACTTATCATGATCACAACTTTAATTTTATTGATTGTAACTTACTTCGTTCACAGTGTTCGTCGATTCAGAAGAGACGTATTTTTAAAGCCTGCTCTATAGGTCCGTTTATGTGTCCAAGTTCAATATAAAAACGCTGCCGTTACACAGAGAGAAAAGTTATCAATAACAAACGAAACATAAAATCATTTACAATTAACAGTGCATATCTTTATTCTTGAATTATATTCATTATTGATGTGAACTTTATGCTTCTTTTTCTTCATTCGATCTTAATCCCATCTAGTTTAGGGATCGCCGCTCGGGTGTTTTGAATTAATCCCTTAAGTGGCTGGCCTTGACAGCAACCCTGAACATGTTCGGTGATGGAGATTTAAACCTGCGACCCGCATCTTGCGAGTCGAACGCCCTAACCACCAGGCCGTGTCAAGGCCTTGCTCTGAACTTTATGCAATGGTATCGAAATCTATTTTTATTTTCCAAACACGGAAAAAATGTATTCTAACGTGATATATAAGATATAACTTTTATCTGGTAAAACTCATACTTCAGATACTGAACTTGAAAGTGATTTGGTATTTAGTATTTTCAATTTAGATAGCATTTTATACGGTACGTGGTCAGGACAGTAAGATCAGAAAATTCCTACAAGATTCAAGCATAACTATTCACAATTTATAACTACTGACCAGAGGGAGGGCAACCACTCAGAAGCACTCATCGCCTATTATGTGGCTACTTGTAACCGTATAGGGTAATTGAATATATCACAGTTATATTGCCGCCACAGATGAAGTTGTGGAACATCGCGGCTCGTACCTTAGACATTTGATCCGCAGACAAGCATCTTTACCATTAAAGGCCACGCTCATCCCCTTGAATCTAAATAAATGTAACTTCCAAAATGAATAAATAAGTAAAAACAAGTGTTGTCTGATGGAACAGTTATATATCTGCAATAACAATCCCCCCTCTAAAAAAAAACAACTGCCATCAGCGTTTCAATAACCACCGGTGTGTCAACAGGGAAGGTCAGAGATTTTGTTTAAATGATTATTTCTTTATCAGACTTCTATTGTATAGTGTTAAACTTACCACTGAGCGAATAAAATGAGGTTCGTTGATTCTGATGGTTCTGACGGCCTCAAAAACATCAATTTCTTTCTCTTGTTGTTTTTGACGAAATAGGAAGGAGACTGCGCAGAAGACTCCCGAAGCAGAAACTCCGTCTCTGACAAACGGGGAAAATAGAGAAATCAGAAAACGAAACAATCGCAGCGTAAATAATAAAATTGAAGAATAGAGAAATATGTAGAGATATTTTTGTATTTACATTCCAAACATACACTTATAACAATAGTATATACAGATCCCAAATCAATAACCTGTCATCTTAGAACTCGCCAAGTAAAAACTACAAAGCAATTAGTCACAAATGTCTCACCTAAGTTACAAACTAGATAGAGAAATTCTAGAAACACAATATTATTGTGTAGAAGAGTAAACACTACATTTTAAAGTTGTCACGATTTATAGAAAATGTCAATTCTAATATTTGTGTCATGCACGGTCCGACATAGTCTTTTTTCTATTTGTTTTTTTATTCATTAATTAAAATACGTAATGAAGCACCCTAAATACAATAAAAATCTAGAAATGTAAACATTTCTGAGTGCGCATGGCCTAGTGGTTAGCTTTTGGGCAAGTGATCTATAGATTTCGGGTTTGATGGTTAGCGTATCGAACAGGTGATCCATGGATCTCGAATTAGGTGGTTAATGTATCGGACAGGTGATCCATGGGTCTTGGGCTCGGTGATTAACGTATCGGACAGTAGATTCGTGTGTCTTGGGCTCGGTGTTTAACGTATCGGACAGGTGATTCATGGGTCTTGGGCCCGTAAGTAGAATGTTTGAAAGGAAAGTTCTAATTTGTGAGATCATAAGCCAACACATATTATGCTATGGGAGTCTGAGGGCATGCCCCACACACACACAAACACAATTTGTAAAAAATAGATGCTATAAGATTAAATCTGGAAACAATTTGGCGTGAAATATAGCTTAAACAATTGCATGGCTGTTCACAAAATTCAGAAATATCCAATGAAAAGTCGACAAACATTTGAATATACGTTTGACTTGTTTTAATATGTTATTTTAAAACAAGTGGACTGTGTTACTGTTTGTTTATTGTTGAAATTTATCACCAACAAGTCACAGACACCTACTGTAAAAGAATCCCGGCCCCTACGTTGTTTTAAAATTACATCTACAAAAACCTATACTCAATTTGTAAGATTTCAAGTATTTAAACATAAAACCTATGTTAATGTATAACAGCGATCATCAGGTCATATCAGACGTTAACACATTTTAAATGAGGTTATGTAACATGAAACTGATTTGTTGTTCACGTATGACATCTGATACATATTATGCATTTATATAAAAAATATATAATAATATATAAAAAATTAGTTTTTTTACCTACTATTGTACCACACACACACACATACACACACGTTTTCAATACAATTACAGGCCTAAATGCTACAACTTGTGATTTCCTGAATCTATAAATATGCAGAATTACGTAAGTTATTTAATAAGAGAGTTGGAACATTCAAAAAGAAAACCTGATTCCAACTATTCATAATGATCACACATATTATACAGTCTTATCGCTTAAGGTTATTTTGCTCAACATATTCAACTGATGTGCTTTTACAATACGTAATGCTTAACATTATCTAATGCTCAACTAATTTAACATTGAAACACGGAAGCATTAAGATTAGGTAAGAAATTCAATGTTAGAAACTTTTGTAAGCAATAATTCTTATGTCGAATAGCTCTATATTTTCCTTTGTTTAATTAAGCATAAAGCTACAAAATATGCTATATGTACTCTGCCCACTGGAGGTAGAGAACCAAGATTTTAAGCCCTCAGACTTACCATTGTGGAATACAGTGCAAAATATTAGAAAAAGTGTCATAAAATAATTGTAATAGAGAGCGATGCAAAAGTCGCACACCACCGTGATTTTCCTAAAACCTGCACAGTTGGTATCACAACAAAATGGGTCAGCGGTAAGTTTACGGACTTACAATGGTAAAACCTGTGATTCGATTCCTCGCGATGAACAGAGCACAGTGACCCATGATGTAGTTTTGGCCTTAAAAACAACAACACAATATCACAACATATTTTCTTCCACACATTCTTATAAGGTTAATGTGATTCCAACCTATTACTGTAAGAAAAGAAAAAGATACATGTAGTGAGTAACAGAAACACGACTTAGAACAATCATAGAAAAGGCTGAAGGTAGATATATAACAAGGATCTGTGTATATAGTTGATGCAGTATTGAAACTTCCGTTATTTTGTAAAGTAAACAATCGTATGAACAAAAATGGATCACTGTTTGCTGAACTGAAAAAAAGGAGCAGATATTCTAGACCTAATATGCAAGTTCATATAAATATTACTTCACTATAAAAGAGAAAGCTATAAATTTAAGTGTTATTTAACTCCATTTTGTATATACAAAGAGAGAGAAAATCTATAAGGTTTACCTGAATTAATTCTGTATTTCAGAAAAAAATGATAAAGGAAATAAAAAAAATAGTATTAACATGTAAAATCTTAAAAAAACATTACATTTGTTGGATTAGAAACAGTTAGGTACATAAATTTGATTGGTGAATAATAAAGACAAATAAATATAATGATTAGTAAGAAAAGTCGTGCATGAAAAATAAATCGTCTCCGTTTCTCTCTCCCACAGATGTTTTGAGGAGATATACCCCCCTTCAGTAGATCAGATATATATACAGAAGCCAATAGAGGTGTAAAACAATGCACGTAAACTTGAAACAGAAATTTCTAAATACTCACGTGCACACAACGATTGTGGGTTTGCTTCTGGTTTTGTGCTGCCATCTGTCGACTATTTGGAGAAGAGTAATTATGGAGTCCACAGAAGGTGGAATTGTGTCTTCTTTCTGCCACCCACTTAGGTGGAACAGTTTAATTGATCTGGACTTCTGATCCTACAGAGTTAGTGAAAAAAACTGCGACAATTGTGACGTAGTTCATATAATAAATATAAAAAGAACATTTTAATACATCTAATTATAAATTAAAATGGTCAAACCACTAAAAATAATATGCTGCTTCATTAAATATGACAGCAAACTAAATTTTTATTATTTTTAATTATTATGACTTTCTAGTATAAGAAAAAGAAACTTATTTAACTCTCATTAATCGAAATAAATATTAGGTACACGTTTTTATATTTATTCTACAGACATCATATACAATATAGAGGATAAGCGAACTCTTGTGATATTGTATGGTTAATAAACGTTACACGTTAGTACATATTTCAACTATTAAGAGACACTTTATCCCGTAACTTCATTGCAACGTTTCCGTTTCCATCAGAATATTTTTTTTTGTTTTGTTTCTAGGTTTATCGCGTTTTACCTCGACAGGATTCTTTAATTTCAAGTTCCGAATTATCAGGTGTTTTGTCTGTTCTGTTCCTACGTGGTCTACTTTAAGATTACCGTAATACTGACTCCCAGACTCTGGCCAGAACGTAGAACAGCACTGTGGAAGAAAAACAACAAACTTTTAAAAACTATTATAAATACGTTAAAAAATGGCGGTGTAACAAGCAGAAAATCACAGCAAATCAAGAGTATTGAGTAGTTTCTTTCGATAATTGATTATTAACGCAAGTAAAATTTGTATTAACACAAACATATTTTACTGATACTGAAAAATTAAATACGCTTAATCTAAAAAATCGTATAGTTATTGACTTTGAACATTATCATATTATAAAGGAAATCACTAAGTTAAGAAGGGGTAAAAATCATCTTACCTTGTCACTAAGCGACACCTCATCCAACAGAACTAGTGTTTGGCAGCCGGACTCGTGTACAAGCTGCCAAAAGTCTTTAGTTGTGAAAGGTGATGGACACTCAGTGGTAATGATCGCTTCTTTTTCCCCGTATCCCTGTAAATGTGTAAAGTTGTTTTTTCTGTACACTGTCACTAACTAGAACAGAAGTTGCGAACCTAACGCACGCGAGGCTACCTCTTTCAGCAAACAGTACAGCATTCCATTTTAAACAAAAATGGCACAGATGACTTTCAAAACAAGCAAATAATTCCACTGTCAAAACACTGCAGGTTAAATGGAATGCGTTACTAAATCTGCACAATTCCATTTAACCAGAAGTCATACTAAAATTTCGGGTGGAGGCTGACACTCAATACACCACAAATATCTCGACTATTAAATTTTATCATTTCGTTTTAAAAAGTTTGCAACCCCTGAACTGACAGACAAAGGTTGATTCTCGGTCGGAGCTAACACAGTTAACGTTGGATGATAAAGAAAAGTAGAAGGTATTCAACACATTAAACGATGGATGATAAAAAAAGGTAGAAGATAATTAACATAATTAACTGTGATTGATAAAAATATAATAATAATAAACACATTAAACGATGGATGATAAAGAAAAGTAGAAGATAATTAACATAATTAACTGTGATTGATAAAAATATAATAATAATAAACACAGTTAACGATTGATGATAAAAAGTAGAGGATCATTAAGACAGCTTACTGAAACTGATAAAAAGAGGGTTATAAATAATAAACACAGTAAACGTGGTTGAAATAGTAGACAGCATGATTCACAGCTAAACTTGCTTAATACTTACATGAACGTACACAGTATTTAGATGGTTAGTAGATGTATTCGAAAAAACAACTGGTTTCCCACAGTCGACTGAAAGTAAAACAAAAGAAAAAATCAGATTATCAGGAATACAGGCAAGAAATTAAAGTGAAGGAGTAGGAGAAAATATAGTAGTCAATTAAATGCTGTATATATGTTACAAAAGATGCTGGAAGTGATGGAGGGCAGGTAAGAGTGTAAAAAAAAGGTTGAGTAAGGGGAAAGACTGGAACTTGAAATATTGCTTGTAATGATCACAAATTCCTCGGCTAGACACAAAAATAAGCGAAAATGTTAATTAAAACTACCTATTAACGTTGACATAAACAACAGCATGAAATGGACATCAATTGAGATGATAATAGATATCTGGGGAGTGAAAATACGAAATATTGGATGTTTGGAATAAGCTCGTGGTGAAAATCGAAGTTTGGAAACAAAATGAGAGAAAGTAACTAAAGTTACAGATCTTTAATGTAACAGGAAAGCATATAGTATAACCATCACAAAATATAATACCATATAATAGTATAACCATCACAAAATCTCACTGTTTTATAAAGTTAAAAATGAACGTGTTACAAAAATCAACAGGAAAGCATATAGTATAACCATCACAAAATATAATACCATATAATAGTATAACCATCACAAAATCTGACTGTTTTATAAAGTTAAAAATGAACGTGTTACAAAAATCAACAGGAAAGCATATAGTATAACCATCACAAAATATAATACCATATAATAGTATAACCATCACAAAATATAATACCATACAATAGTATAACCATCACAAAATATAATACCATATAATAGTATAACCATCACAAAATCTGACTGTTTTATAAAGTTAAAAATGAACGTGTTACAAAAATCAACAGGAAAGCATATAGTATAACCATCACAAAATCTGACTGTTTTATAAAGTTAAAAATGAACGTGTTACAAAAGTCGTATTGCAGATATTTCCTTACGACATTCCCAAGATAAAGCTCAATTTTTGCTATAACAACCACAGACTCATAACTTACATGTTAAGAGATCAACTACTCTATTCCTTGTTTTTCTTTCTGTAATGGTGTTCGGGTTAGCCCTGTCTTCTCGAAACTTGGCTGTCTCTATTTCCAGACGCTGAAAGGCAGCAAACACATCAGCCATTAGGTAAGATTTCACTCCTTTTAACTGTACTATTTGAAAACCTGCAGTGTTTCTGTACAATATATATTATAGGATTATTGATTAAAGCAGAAAAGGTTAAATTGTTTGTTTATCTTTGTTTAATTTAGCGCAAACTTACTCGAGGGCTATCTGCGCTAGCCGTCCCTAATTTTGAAGTGATCAGCTAGAGTTGGCGGTTAGTACCCTTGACAAGCTACCTTCCCTATAGTGTGTCAGTTCAAATTTAAGGACGGCTAACGCAGACAGCCATTATATATCTGTGTGCAAACATTCGAAACAAACAAAAATATCCATGCGAGTGCGGTCCGAGTAGGAGATTGGGCTGTATTTTGAAACTTGTCATGCGACTGTCAATTTTCTGAACTGAGCATAACTCAAAACAAAACGGTCTTACTTACAGCAAGAACAACAACAAAGAAGAGAGGTTTCAAATTGTTAGTTGCACACAAACTCCCAATTGCCTATTGAAATAACAGTGAGAAACATTATACAAAGGAGGTAAACTGTTATAGTATAAGTTTTAGTCTGGACGATAAGTTTTATATCAGCTTAGTTTGTGGAGAAAAATATAGAACCTGACACAGATTTACAACACGGTAAAAAAAATCATGTCTTAATACATGACGCACACGTAACTATGGTGTAACTGATTCACGTGTAACCAATTAAACAAAAAATATAAGTGAATAAATTAACTTTACAACGTTGAGTTAGATCCATAGGTTTACCTCTATTTCACAATATTTGAGCTTTGTAGATCAGTTTTATCATCTAAACCTAAACAATAATTTTTTGTGTATTAACACTTTATAGCACATCAGAATTATTACTATAAAGAAATGCGAGTCCCTGTGTGCCATTCATTTTAACGCTGAAATAGTTTTTTTTTTCTTTCCTAATAACTCGCAACAAGCAAAGTGTGAAATCAGATGTATCTTTTCGTTGTTGTTGACAATTTGTATGATAAATAAAATTGGTACTTTTGGGGCTTGAGCACATCCAGCCAACCACCTGTGCTATACATGTGAAGGCACAACACTAGCGTGACCTCTATGCTGACTGACCTTTGACCTGTATCTGGCATTGAAAGCGTATTCGGATCTTTTCTGTTTCATTGTCTGAAGTTAAGCACAAAGCTACACAATGGGCTATCTGTGCTCTGCCCACCACGGGTATCGAAACCCGGTTTCTAGCGTTGTAAGTCCGCAGACATACCGCTGTGCTACTGGGAGGCTTTTTGTTTCATGCACCGCGTTTAAATATAAATAAATATATTTTTGAATGTAGTTTTTAATGCTGATTTCAGAAATATAAATTAGAATTTGGAGATATGAAAAGAAATATTTTGAATATTTTTTATTTAGCTAGGTTAGGTCAATTTATGTGAGGTTAGATCAAATTAGGGTAATTAGTAAATAATTACATGTTTATTTAAATAAAAAAATTAATTTAATTAAAAAATATTTCCCATTCTTTCCCCTTTAAAAATCAAATCTCCAAATTTTAATTTATATTTCTGAAATCTGCAGCAAATTGAAAGCACTTGGAATGTGGTTAAGAGACGTTACAAGCGACATTGGGGAACCAACTGTAATATGATTGACTATATCTGTGAGTTCGTTTGGCATGTAAATGGTGATCTCTTCAAGCTAATATTTAAGAATATTTTTGAATTTTCATATTGATTTTGTTACAGTGACACTAAATACTTTGTATTGTCTTGATGTCTTGTTATTCTTTTAAATACATAGGTATATATGTAATGCTAAAAGTACTTACTTTGTTTCGTAAGCAAAATATTAAAAAATATTAAAAATATTTATTTTCATTTCTCCAAATTTTAATTTATATTTCTGAAATCAGCATTAAAAACCACATTCAAAAATGTATATTTCTTTCTATTTGAACGCTGTGCATGAAACAGAAAAAAATCCGCATATTCAAAACCCATAACTACATAACGTAAGAAAAGAACTTCATACCTCAAACTGAGCCTGCAACCCAGTTTTTTCCGTTTGACAATCTACATTAGTAAGCTTCTTGAAGTATAGAGGGAGCTCTTCGGCTGATCTACTGGGCTTGTCTCCAAATAAAACTTCAATCAGGGCACGATGAACAAACGCATATTGTTCCTTTAGGTGTGTAAACGTTATCTTTTAGAGACTATGTGATCCAATATCAGTAGCACGTTTAACAATAACAATGTCAAACATTGAAATCAAATTTCCATTTTTCTGAGAATGTTTAAATTTAAAAAAAAATCATGTATTATAAAATAGAAAATTCTCGGAAATTTTTGTTATCAACTTGTAGGGTTTATATGCTGTAATTCGATTTACAAGAGAATTATTATTGTGAATTATTTTAGTACTAATTTTAATTCTACTGACAAATTATCTCAAACTAAATATATTTTATTACAAGTTGAAGTGATAGGTTATTTTAGGCTAACGATGTGATTTATTTAATGAAAATGGTTCTTAATGGGTATGTAAAATATTTATTTGATAAATTTATTTTAAAATTACTGTTAACTCTTCATTATCTTTATTTTCAGAAGAACCTCTCACAGTTTGATGAAAGATGTTATTGCTAAAAATTACAGTCTTCAGATAGTCACACTAAAATTTAATGCTTTTTAGATAATATAATTTTCAATTTTAATGCAATTATTATTTAGGATTATCTACAGCTTATAAGCAGTACATCCAAGATCTTTAATAGATTAATAGTACAGATCATCAGTAGTACATTCAACAGATTAATAATTCATAAGAACAATTCTACATACCACAGTTTCAACTAAATTAACACGTTGTTCTCGAAGTTTATACAGCAAGCCAAAAACGTCCACCTTGCCCTCCGACTTAACCATCTGTATAGCCGAATCGAAAAGAACTAGAGTTCCTGTCCGTCCAACGCCAGCACTGTACAAGTAAGAGATTTCTTTCATTTTTATGACATATAAACGTAAGTAATATAGGATGCCATTCTGGAGCCGGAAATAAACAAACATGACCATGACCCAATTTCCACAAGTTGGTATAACGTGTCGAGGGCATTAACCTAATATGTACGTCAACAATAGCAGGGAACACGTTGCTAGGTGATATAATAAGATTACAGCACCAATACCAGGGGTATGCTGTTATGTGCATGTTGCTAAGTGGTATAACAGGATTATGTCAGAAACACCATGACCCAATTTCAACAAAATAGCATGTCCTTATATATATATATATATTTCATATTATTTCATTCAATTTGTAGTCTTTTTCTTTATAATTACTTACCATGGGAACATTCTAGGACACTATAGAGAAAGATGGCTTTATCAGAATAATGTGCATGTATCCTACCTTTGAAGATATGAAGATCAGGGCATTGACCTTGTATGTACGTCAACAACACCAGGGGGTGCATTGTTAGGTGGTATAATAAGATCACGTCAGCAAGACCATGACCCAATTTCGACAACATAGCATGTCATTCCACATATTTTTTCATATTATTTCATTCAATCTATACTCATTTCTTTTATAATTAATTATCATGGAAACTTTCTGGGATATTGTAGAGAAAGACGACTTTATCAGAATAATGTGCATGTATCCTACTTTAGAAGATATGAAGAACCAAAAAAAATCTGTAAAATAACTCTGAGAATAACAAAAAAGTTCTATATAATTGTCCATACTTCTTGTGAAACAAACTTTTATGGCCCTTTCCTTAACAATATATACTCTGGCTACCTGGAATCCTTTTACTTCAACAATTGCTAACTTTCTCTCCTTTTTCTGTAATTGCAATGCATATGATTAGCATAAGTCAAAACAGTATCCACATCAACAATATGATTTCAGTTCTCATTTCTTTCATCATTGTTTTTCTTATTGTATGAAGAAGAATTAATGTTTTTAAAATTGAAGATATTGTCAGACTGACTTACATTATGTAGAAGATAGTAATATTCTTATATCATAATAATCTTGTTTGTATGTCAATAGATCAAACCAAATATCATGAACATATTTTATTCATTATACTGTTATAGAATAACTATTTAGTCTTATACGTTTTTGCAGAGGAAATAACATAGTTCTTGAATAACTTTACCACTTTCAAAAAAAAATCAATGGGATTTAAATGTTTACAATCATGTACATTTAGTTTAGTAGCTCTATCATGAAACACATCTAATATAATATTCTTATCCACTCGAGTTGAAGTAGACCTCAAATATAACCAGATACCTTCATCATGACCAACATCACACATGTATAATGGTTGGAGACGGCTTGAATGGGTAATGAAGAAAGACTTTAATATAAGTTGTACATTTGCTTATATTCTCCTTTCTAAGTTTTGTATGGCAAGGGATACATGTTTAATGTATACTTCAAATAATGTTTTAAAGTTGATGCTATTAGATGTAGTTTCTGGTTCCATTTGTTTTATTTGATTTAGACACAAATCAATAAAATGGATATGTTCAGATTTTTTTTAAAGTGATAAGACTTGATGTATAGTTGTTAATATTATATTGGGTTGTAAGCATAATAGATACATTTTTTGACTCATCACATACAACACTAATAATAAGTTTATGATGATCCAGACCAAAGCCCTCATTGTATTTTAAATGTATGACCCTAGTCACTCATGATATCAGTTATGAAAATTCTTGCCATTCAACATGCATAAATGTTACACCTGCTTTGATGAGTATAATGTGCCATTGAAATACAATAAGGACTTTGGTCTGGATCATTGTAAATGTATTATTAGTGTTGTATGTGACCAGTCAAAAATGTGTCAATTACGTTTACAACCCTATATGATATTAACATCCATATATCAAGTCTTATAACTTTAACAAAGTCTGAATGGTATCAGTTCTGTGAACAGATCCAATTTATTGATGAATCATATCTAAATCAAATAAAACTAATGAAACTAGAAACTATATCTAATAGTATCAACTTTAAAAATTATTTGAAGTATACACTGAACATGTATCTCCTGTTATACAAAAGCTTAGAAAGGAGAAATGCAGGGTTTGTGAAGTCGATGATCACAGTCAAGTTGTTCATATGTGTGTGATGTTGGTCATGATGAAGGTATCTGGTTATATTCAAGGTCTGCTTCAACTCAAGTGGATAAAAACAATATATTAGAAATGTTTTGAGATAGAGCTAGTAAACTAAATGTACGTGATTGTATGAATTTAAATCTCACTGATTTTTTTGAAAGTGATAAATACATTCAAGAACTATGTGATTTCCTCTGTAAAAATGTATAAGACTAAATAATTGTATTCTATATCAGTATGATCTACAAACAAGATTATTATTATACAAGAAGATTACTATATTCTACATAATGTAAATCACTTTGGCAATATCTTCAATTTTATAAACATTTAATAAGGAAACAATGATGAAAGAAATGAGAATTGTCATAAGGTACTGTTGACGTGGATACTGTTTTGACTTATGTTAATCATATGCATTACAATTACAGAAAGAAAAGTTAGCAATTGTTGAAGTAAAAGGATTCCAGGTAGCCAGAGTATATATTGTTAAGGAAAGGGCCATAAAAGTTTGTTTCACAGGATGGATGGACAATTATATACAACTTTTTATTCTTCTCAGTTATTTTACAGATTTTTTTTTCTTTTTGTGGTTCTTCATATCTTCAAAGGTAGGATACACATACATTATTCTGATAAAGTCATCTTTCTCTACAGTATCCCAGAAAGTTTCCATTATAATTAATTATAAAAGAAATGACTATAGATTGAATGAAATAATATGAAAAAATATGTGGAATGACATGCTATGTTGTCGAAATTGGGTCATGGTGTTTCTTACTTAATCCTATTATACAACATAGCAACACGCCTCCTGGTGTTGTTGGCTTATATTAGATCAATGCCCTCGACACTTATACAAGCTTGTCGATATTGGGTCAAGATCATGTTTGTTTACTCCCAGCTCCAGAGTGGCATCCTATAGTACTTATGTATGTGCACCATATACACACATATTGTGTATATCCACACATGTGGTAAGCTTATATATATATATATATATATATATATATATATATACTACGTAGTATAGTACTTATTATACGTTAGTAGTAGTATACGTAACACTATTTTAGTACTTAACTTTATAATAGTAGTA